GGTCCACAATAATTCTGAATTGCCTTTGGTGGTTGAGGTGCAGTCTAAACAATATCTTGATCCCCTATTGATAGAGATGAAGGAATTGGTACTTAGCAAGATGAATTAGTCTTTCTCCTAGTGGGGGTGTGCTAAGGTACCAAAATATATTATATGTATCGGATGTTTATGATTTGAGGAATAGGGTGTCAAAAAAATCTCATGTTTCCCAAGTGTCCAAATTGCCAACAAGTGAAAATCGACCATCACAAGCCTACTGTTCTAATTTAAGAAATGGATGTTCCTACTTGAAAGTGGGAAGAAATTAATATGGACTTCGTTGTTAGGTTGCCTCAAACCCAGAAACAAAATGACTCAATTTGGGTTATTGTGGATAGATTGACAAAATCCGCTCACTTTATACCCATCAAGTCTACTTATTCGGTGGAGGATTGTGCAAGAATATATATTAATGAAATAGTGAGCTAACATGGGATCCCTTCGTCCATCATTTAAGATAGAGGTGCTCAATTCACATCTTGATTCTAGATATCTTTCCAAAAATGGTTGTGTACACAGGAAGAGATAAGTTCCGCTTTTCATCCCCAAACGGATGCTCAAGCGGAGTGTACTATTCAAACCCTAGAAGACATTTTGAGAGCATGTGTGATAGATTTCAAATGCAATTGGTATGATCACCTACCGTAGATTGAGTTCTCCTATAATAATAGCTAACATTCGAGTATTTAAATGGAACCTTTTGAAGAACTCTATGGTAGGCGATGTAGGTCTTCGGTTGGGTAGTTCGAGATTAGTGAGTATTCATTACTTGGTCTTGAAATAATATATGAAACTTTAGAGAAGGTTCAGATGATAAGGAATCAGTTGAAATTAGCCTATAGTGGGAAAAAGTCCTATGCCGACAATAGAAGAAGAGACCTAGAATTTGAAGAAGAGGATAAGGTGTACTTCAATAGTTCACCTATGAAAGGGGTGATGAGATTCGGAAAAAAAGGAAAGCTAAGTCCTTGATATGTGGGTCCTTATGAAATAGTGCAACGGGTCGGAAAGGTTTCATATGAGTTGAGACTACCTAGTGAACTAGCTTTGGTTCATCCAGTATTTCAGGTCTTCATGTTAAAGAAGTGTATTGGTGATCCCGTATCCATCCTCCCCATTGAAGGGTAACGTGTGGATGAGATTATTTCCTATGAAGAGGTATTGGTGGAAATTCTAGATCGCCAAGTCAAGAAGTTGAGGAACAAGGAGGTGGTGTCCGTAAAAGTCTTATGGAGAAATCACCTTATTGAGGGAGCGACATCGGAGGCCGAGGCTGACATGAAGTCCCATTATTCTCACTACTTTCCTCAAAATTCTAGCCAAAGTTGAGGCTAGTAATCCTCCTAAAAATTAACTAATTAATAATGTTGAGTTTGACTTGATTTGTTAAGATGTGCATAACTGTGGTAAAAGAATCTTGCTAAAATGAGTTTTCTTGTATATATGCTTTTTTGCTTAACTTAAACTTATTTGTGATTTTGTGTATAGTTGATTTTATGAAATGGTATTGATCATGTTAATGAACCTTGAAAAGAAGTTGTGCATAAGTGGCTCTTGATGTTATGTTGAGCTCATGGTAGTTCCTCATGTGGTGAATTTGAGATCTTATATGAAGTAAATTGTGCTTCGAGTTTCTATGTGTAAATGACATGTTATGTGTTGAATGGATTTTTGAATTAATGCTATGAGTTGTGACTCATTATTGTTTTATGTTGTTGGTTGGGCTGCTAGTATTGAGTTTGTCCTCTCCCTACCAAAAAATTTGTGTCATTGGGGGACGAATGTTTCTAAGAGGGATAATGTGACACTCCGAAAGTCCAAGACCTAATATTGAGCCTCACATGATGAACTAAATCTTAAACCACTATTTCTAAGCCTAAATAAATGTAAATTTAGATAGGAAATGTTAGAGTCAAGACATTAAGAAATATCCACGACGTCCAGAAGCTAGTGCAATTGAACTAGTAAAACGTCCTTAGGTTTCGTGAAGGCTTGGAGGTGTTGTATGAAGTATAAAACTTGTGAAATAACTTTAATAGGAAAAATCATATACATATATATATGGTGAAAATTTCCAAGTCAGACCCACCGAGGATCGCCCTAGGGGTCCACAAAGGGACCCCAAACTTAGCCAAAATTGCACTTGGCTGAAATTTTTCCGGGTGGCAAACTAGGTCCCACTTGGACCAAAAATCTTGGTATGCAACACGGGAACGTCGTGGACTCTTCTGTCTCAAAAATTAATTTAGAAAATCTTGCGGAAGCAGCTCCGCGTCGCGGACTTATTTCCCGATGAAAATCTGAATTTGTTTGACTTCATTAAATGGTCAACTTAAGTGAGGGGTCTTTAGGTTATTTCATTAGAGGTCTATACATTGATTTTCAATTATTTTTCCCTCAAATTTGCTCACTTAAATCAGATCTCCAAATCAAAACCCAAAATCGGTCACCTTTCTCTACTTCCTCTCTATATTTAACCTTCATTGAAGAAGCTTTGAAGCTTGAAGAAGAAGACAGAATTCCCAAGTTTTTCTACACAAATTGGAAGTTAAAGTCTTAATTAAGGTATGTTTTATTTTACTCTTGGGATTACATTCCCCAAGAGGTCCTTTCAAAGAGATTTTCAAACTTCCCTAAACTAGGGTTTTTCTCTACACATAGGTCTTTTTTGAAAAATGAAATTAGGAATAAATTGTGATGAATTATGGTCAATTAATGTTGTTTAAGTATATATTCATGGTTAATTCTTTTTATTCACTCAATAGTCCCATGGACCCATGTCTTCCTCCAATTTCATGAAAACCTTGAATTTATAAGTTGAATTGTGAAGCGGATGACTATGTTGATTGACTACATTGATGTTTATTATGTAATTGCTTCTTGAATTTACCTTAATTATTCATTTGCTATGTATTCTTTGTTAATTGAAGTATGGATACAATGAAAAAGGCAAGAAGGTATGAAGGTTGATTCTTCTCTAATTCAATTATGAAGTATAGTTACTTAGATTATGATGCTTCTATGTCTAATGTGCGGTTGTGATGTTGATAGCAAGTATTCCTCATCCTTAACCCTAGACTATTGAATTGATTATGAAATATGAAAGTATCTTATGGTATGATTATTATATGATTAAAAGTAGGTTCTCATGTTATAATGAAGCGTTAAGTGAAAGATTTACTCACTAGTATGTGGTTTCTAAAGTGAAAGGGTACTTCTCACTTATAAATACCTATGAGCTATTATAATAAGATGTTCACATAGGGGTATTGAAGAGACTAATTTGATCTTGTATAATGAGTATGATGGTTACTAAAGGGAATAAATGCTTAGCACTAAAACATATAAATGAGATGGATGTCCCATGTTTAGCAAGTCCGGCCTCCTATATGGGTTTCTTCATGTTTTGCAAGTCAGGATTTCTACAATATGTGTTGTCTCATGAGATGGAACCTCCACATTAGTAAGTCAAGATTTTTAGTAACAATCTCCTTGACCCTTAACTGTGTGCCTACAGAGGACTATAGGTTAGTGGATACACCTATATAGCTATGTAAGATTGGTTACACCTTAGGAAAGTGTTAGCCCTCTCTTTTTTGTGTGGGAGGAGAACACCGGATTCCATGTAACTCACATGGTATCATGTCGGTTATTGTATTATCTTTCTTATAATATGGTAAATGAATAAGTCAAGTATGTGAACTATTATTAGGGCTCGTCTTGAAGGTTACTACATAGGGTAAGGGAGGGTATGGGACTTCTCTTACTCATTGCACATGTTGGATCCTAAGGGATTGTCATAGTAGTGTTGTTGTATAACTAAGTTGATGTCATGTTATGTATGTCAAGTTACATATGAACTTATGAAGCAAACATGTTATGATAAGGTATGAGGTTATGTTCTATGTATATAATAAGTGACTTAATATGATGCTTAGCTTTGGATAGGGTTTTGGGGTTCTATTATTGGCATTGCACAAGTATTGATTTGGGTTCCTTATGTGTTGGGTTAATATCATGTTGTGTGGACTTATAATAATCCATATATGTGCTTGTTGAGTTATTGAATATAAAGCATGGTTTTTGACTAAATTGTGTCTTTTCTCATGCATTGATGATTTTATGCATAACAACCATACTTAGTGCATGTGTTTTGTACTAACCCATATTTTTCCCCTTTTTCCCCAACATTGTAGGATCCGGCCATTAAAGAGCTTCTAGGCCATTTGGCAAGGATACTTGGACTTCTTCCTCCAATTTGTGGTGAATCCTCCAAGTTCGAGGATGGTGTCTTTGATCTACCCTAGTAGAATTGATATAGTCTAAAAGACATTCATTGCTTCCTTATTCTTAAAGACAATTATTGTAATCCGTAAGTGGCAATATGTACTTCTGTTAGTCTTATGCCCAAATATTGTACTTCGTTAAGATGGTGTAATGTGAGACTATATTATTATACTAACTCCTTATATGTTTATTATATTAACTAAACGAGAAGCCTATGTATGCTTCCTATGCGAGGATTCTAAGTAAACTCCATATGTATACATATGATTAGTACGAGAGAGGTCTATGTATACCTCAGTATGTATTAAGTTTTAATTTTTATGCATTTTGACCTTTGAAATGTAATGATTAATACTAAGAGGCTAGTCTTAGTCCTCTTCAAGGATGACAACGCCGGTTGCGTCTAGAGGGTGCTCCCCGATCATGACAGAAGTCTTTTGGAGGGAATTTCTTGATAGGTTCTTCCCAAGGGATAAAAACGAGGCAGAAGTGGAAGAGTTCATCAACCTTCATCAAGGAGGTATGAGTGTGCTAGAATACACTTTAAATTCACTAAGTTGTCCAAATATGTCTCTTCTTTGGTGTCCAATCCTAGAGATTAAAAGAACCTCTTTGTGACAAGTGTGCATGATGACCTTGTGGAAGAGTGTCGTTCGGTGATGCTTCATGACAACATGGACATTTCTCGTTTGATGGTGCATGCTCAACAATTTGAGGAGGGTAGTCTTAAGAGGAAGAATAGAGATACTAAGAGGGCAAGGTCCTACAAAGGAGGTACTTCTAAGGGTAAGTTGGAAATTCAAGACAAACCTAAGTTCAAGAGGAGGTTCTCCAATCAAGTTCCTTCAAATTTCCCCAAGGCTATCAAGGATAGGGTGTCTAACCCTAGATCTCAAAGGGGAAGAGGTGGTGATTCTCCAATAGAGAAACCTACTTGTACCAAATGTGGTGAGAAACATATGGGTGAATGTCTAGTTGGAACGGATAATTGCTTTGGCTGTGGAAAGAGTGGTCACAATGTGAGGGATTGTCTCATGATTAAAGCTCAAGTAAAGGAGAGTAATCAAGAACAAGCAAGTGCTCCAAATTCCAATGCTCCTAAGAAGAACCACTTCTATGCTCTCCGTTCTAGGGGTGATCAAGAGGAATCTCTCGATGTTGTACCGGTATGTTACAAGTGTTTTCCATTAATGTCTATGTTTTACTAGATCTCGATACCACCTTATCTTTTGTAACTCCTTTAGTGGCCATGAAGTTCAATGTGTTACTCAATGTTTTAATTTAACCTTTTTCGGTACTACCCCAGTGAGTGACTCCGTTATTGCTTAAAGAGTCTTTAGGATTTATCTTATATCATTGTCCAATAGAGTTACCTTGGTCGATTTGGTAGAACTTGATATGTTGGATATTGATGTCATATTGGGGATGGATTGGTTATACGTTTGTTTTGCTTCTATTGATTGCCCCTTGTTCTTGATTCCAATTACCTCATATTAACCTTAATGAACTTACTAAAACTTCGGGGAGTCATTTTTATGATAGTTTTAACCTTATGTTGAGGAACTAGTTTGACTTGCTATTTTCCGGGTTGTTCTATAATAATTAGATTGTTACTTATCTGAAGCTTTTCATATAAATTTTTATGTTTTCATCTTTTATATCTGCAATTTTAAATTGAAAATACAACATAAAATTTTTTTAGCAATTTTTTTGTATAGATAATATCAATATCACAACTTAATTTGTATTTCTCTATTTTATCATATAATAAAGTTGTATTTCTCTATTTTATCATGTAATAAAGTCGTTAGTTTTGACTAACGACTAAAGATGCTAAAGTTTATTTTAACGAGAAAAACATAACATCCAGATAGATATGTAGAGAGATTATTTATATTTGATCGAAATGAATTTCTTGTAATGGGAAAAAAACTCAAGTCACATATTTTAATTTCATATTATGTACTCCAATGACATTATTGAAGTAAATTTTTGTAACTTTTTAGAAGTTGAAATTTATAAGATAACAGTTTCGCAACACTAAAGATTTGTTTTATTATAAAATAAATCGACTTTTCATTCTGTTCATTTCATTTAATTTTACGTAGAAAAATTTGAGTAGTAAGATCAAATAATTTATATTTTTGTATGAATGTTTTTAAAATATTCACACTGATTATAAACCGTTAACCACTAAATAAGAGACCATTTTGTTTTGAATTGTTGAAATTAAGTTATTTTCATAAGAATAATTTGAGAAAAATTAATAGTGAAAGATAAGCAATTGAAAAATGGGTTAAACGTTTAATTTGACGAAGACATCAGTTATGAAATATTAGTGTAAGCTATTTGTATATAAACACATATCAAACCTGTTAAGTTTTTGAATACTTAAGAAAAATACTGAAACCGGTAAGAGGTCGTTCGTTTGGTAGCAGGATAGAGTTATACATTAGTAATGTGGGAATTAGTTGCACAGATATTAGTAGGGGTGGCAATGGCAGCCTATATAGGTGAAATGAAACCATTTTGCCCATATTAAATTAAATGGATCACTCATATTTTCTTTCATTTTGTTAAATGCGTTAATATGGTCTTCAAACTATTTTAGCTCATACAAATATGGACAAAATGGTCAACATGAGCATCCATATTCAGACCATATCAGTGAGAAATGAAACCGATTTTTTTTTATAATCATATTCTTTCCTTCTTTAACTTTGTATTTTTCTTCTTTCCACGACCCAAGGCTACCCCTAGAGGTGACACGACGTACAATACTTCGAAAAGTCTCATACAAGCGTCGTAGCATATCATAGCATAAGACATAGGGAAAAAGTGCAGAAATTTAGAACTTTCCTTTACCAATTATAGTCAAATAGCATTAAATAAACGTAACCTCAATACTAATCAACCATGATCCATTATATAAGCCCTAAATTAATTCATTCATGTATACAAGCTTTACTTATAAGTAATTTATATCTAGGTCATCTATTCTAAAGCAATTCATAAAGAAGTACATCAATCTTAGAAGGTCACATCTAAACCCTCAATTTACCTCTTTCATGTCATAACCCTTGACCATATCAATTTAATCCTAAAATCATAGGTTAATCAAGAACACGTGCATAGCTAAAGTCATGTATTGCATCATAAACAATCATTAATTACTCAATTGAGCCAACATACATGTAACACTCCGAAAGTTCATGAATCTAGAGCCTCACTAGAAGAACTAAGACTTGAAACACTGTTTCTAAGCCTAAAATAATGTATTGGAGCTAATAAGAAAGTTTTAGATTCAAAACATTAAGAAATAACCATGACGTCCGGAGGATTGTGAAATGTGCACTAGTGTGCCTTGGTATGTTTCATGAGGTTTTAAGAGTCGGAATTTAGTGAAATTGGGTAAAAAGGTGCTGAATATGTATTAAAGTGTGCTAAGGGTTAAAACATCCAGGTACGATCCCAAGGACCACCCTAAGGGTCCTTGGAGAGAATCCTTCCATTTGACCCAAAACTGTCAAATTGACAGTAGCCAAATGACAAGCCAATTGACGAACCGTCGATGGTTCAACGTCCCATCGACGGTGGTCATTGGCCAACACTTATACTATACAAAAAAAGGTACAAAAACATAGTTTATGACTTAATCCACGGACCAGCAGGACGGCCCGTGGTCCAGTCGACGGTCCATTAGTCAGGGTCTCGTGAGTTGGGGTTGAGTTTCATTGTAAAGTTTTAAGTTAAATGACTTATTAGTTAGTTGTTTAGGTGATTAATTAAGGGTTATTGTGTGGTTAATTACGTTAATTTGGGAACTATATAAGATCTAACCCTCAATAAACTAACCTAACACCCATATTTCCCAAACCTAATTCTCTCCAACTTATCTCTACTTTCTCTCTCTATTCAAAGACTCCATTGAAGACCAAGCTTCAAGTATAACTAGTGCTTCAAGACTTCATCTATTCTCCATCAAACACTAAGGAATCCTAAGGTATGTAATCTATTCACTCTTGGGATCTCTTTCCCCGAGAGGTTTTTCAAAATTTGTTTCTAATGAAGTCAAAAACATAGGGTTTCTTCCAATTTCGTAATTGATCTTTCAAATAGATTTGATGTTGGTTTACTTTAATTTTTATTTATAGATTATGATTATATATTGGTTAATTGATGTAGTTGTTAGTCTTTTACCTAGTTCTATGGAAGAAACCATGATTGAACCCTTTTCCCCTAACCTTAGGTTATGGATTGAGGTTGAATTGATAAGTGATGATACAATTGACTTAGTTCTTGTATAGATTACTATTGTATTATATTATTAATTGAATTTATGGAAGAATATGGATGGATTGATGGTAAGATCTTGAAGGAGTCTTATGAAGCTATGTGGTAAGACTTTATGATCTTGAGTTCTTTACTTCAACGTTGATGATTGATACTTGATAATGGTATTCAATTGAAGTATTGTATGTAATTCATTAAGAAGATGATGATGTGATGATTACGATGAAATGTCTTGACTATATGAATTGTGAGATCACGTTAAAGGTATGATGATACAAGGTTGAATGTGAATCACTTGTGTTCCTTACTATGATATGATTATGGTACGTTGATCTCACAAATAAAGGGTTGTTATGAAAGTACATTCTCATGCAATAATACCTAATGAGCTAATAACATGATATACAAGGGGTTAGTCTTCTATGGCCTATGCTAAGATATGATGATTAAGAAAGACTTAAAGACACTTCAAAAAGGGACTTTAGCTTAGCACCGAGTGAACTTGACAATGAGAGGTGTTGACTCCCCCAATGGAATGGAGATTCACCACTTGTTCTCATGATATAAGACTTCAATGCTAATGGGCATGTAAAGGGTTCAAGACATATCTCCTAGTTCCTTAACTATGTTGCCTCCATAGGAATACTAGCTAGTGGATTCATTTAGAATGTTATGTTCATATTTGGTTCTATTTTGGAAAGTAGACCACCTTTTTTTGGTGTAGGATTTCATGACAACGGACATGTTTAGCTCACATGGTTTATTGCCAGTTAAGATGATTTTTCCCGACAGTAAAATGAAAGTAATAAAGTGAACACTAACTAGGGTGACGTAAGGGGTTCTACTTAGTGTAGGTAGGGGTATGGGACTCTACTTATATATGACACAAGTTGACCTTGAGGGAAGTCCTAATAGGTTGTTCTTATGTACTTATGATATGAATGAAATGTATATGTTGACTTTACATGGTAATGATTCTATAAGATGTTAGTTTCATTGATGAAATATTATTTCTCTGGTTTGATGTACATTATTATGAATATGCATGATTTCAAGATATATGGAATGTAGACATTGCTTCTGATCCTTTGCTTGGTTTACTTGATTATGTGGGGTTATGGGGTTTCACATAAGCATTGCACTTGTAGGCTTCGGAAGGGGATTATGGGTAAGGGTCTTACATGTTATGTTATGAACTCTTGTACATGAATGTTGATGAGACATTATTTTAGAGTTGTTATGTTTATATGATCTTGGTATAATGTCATTCATGTTGATATGACCTTATGTTGATAATATCCACGTTGACTTGACTTTATGATGATGTTAGTCTTGTGTGGAATATGGACTTGTCTTAAGTGAATGTGTAATCATTGGGTTGTATGTGTTCTTAATTGTGCATAAAGGCTTTTTAAAGTAACTTGGCATGGTTTTGAACTAAATGTCCTTTTAAGCATGATTTCAATGGTTTTACTTGCATATGTTTCCATACTTAGTACATGTGGTTGTACTAACCCATATTATTTCCTTTTCCCTAAACAATGTAGGTTCGGGCCATTGAAGTATAGGAGGCCACTTTGCAAGAAGAGTTGGACTATTTTCCCCAAGTTATTGGCAGGTCCTCCATGTTCGCGATGTTACATTTTCACTATTCTAACTATGAAGTTGTTATGTCTAAAAACACTTGTTCATTCTTTTATCTTTGAGACTATAATTGTAAGCCGATATGTGGCTCGTTTGTATTAAAGTATGGTCTATGACCAATGTTGTAATACTCTTTAGATGGTTTAATGTGAGACAATGTTATTAGACTATTTTCCATGTATTGGTTATGTTGTTTAAATGAGAATCCTATGTAAACTTCACTAAGCGACGAGTCTATGTAAGCACCATATATGATATGTGAGAGGTCTAT